TTTCTTCGCTTTCGTGGATCCACAAAGGTCTCTAAACATTTGGGTCGGGACGATGCTTCCCAGAATATCAGCGGTAACCGAGTCAAAACGTTATATATCTACTCCAAGGCAGCGTTGAGAAAAGGGTCGAATAAGTGACTCTCCACTCTGTTTACCCCACCGTGGAAGCTCTTCTTATGATTGATTATTACGACTACAATTACTTATGAATAATTTCACTGATTTTTGGGATCGCCTGATTTTGGGCTAAAGATAGATGAGTTCCACCCAATTTTCCCTTCCTTACGTTTACCTTATCTTGCTATTTTTGAGCTAATAAATAACTTTATAACGAATCCTGTTAAGCGCAGATTTCTGGATTTCAGCTCTTCAATATCGCCATAAACAGCGCAAAAGTACAAGAACAAAGCACTAAAGGTGAATTAAACTAGAAAATACTGATTATCAGGTATAAACTTCATTTCATATGAGAACAGAGAGCTAAGACAAAAAGAATATACTACTACGTTCACTTGAATTGATTATTTTACTTCTTTTTCAGAAAATACAGGAATTCAAAGACACAGTTTTTTGAAATTAAAGGTTCAAAACTCAAAATAAAAAGGGTGCTTATAAGCTGAACGGTGATAAAGGAATACGCCTCATTCGTTGGACAAGTATTTTTAACAGGAGTGTTAGTTATCATTCGAAAGCTTAAATTTCTGGGTAGAGCCGTACGTGGTCGGTTTTCCAAAATACCACTTTATAACGATGATTTTTTTTCTTATCCCGCTTATAATTCGCTGGACAAAACAAATTCCTTGTGCTAGTATTCTTCTGATAGCACAAGTCTTAGGGAACTGATAAATATGTTAACTTTTCAAAAAAAAACCCTCTAAATAGCGCTTAGGAGAAAAAAAAATCTTTGTGTTTCACACCTCGCTCTACAAAGCTCTTTGTTCAGATCAATATTGATAATTCGATAGCGTAAGTATAAGCAATTCCAACGCTGTGATTATTTCTTGGAAAGACTGCTTCATTGCGGTGTACCAAGGAAAACAAAACCGAGTTTCACAATATTCAGCGAGCTTGTTTACCGGCCACCCCAGCAGCTAGAGCACGGGGCGATCGATCGATGCCCCGACGGGTTAGGCATGTGGGGTTTAACTTGTTTCCTGTCAGGAATTTTTTCTTCGTTTCGAAAGGAACTAAAAGTAAAACAGTTGCTAAGATACTACGAGATTTTCTCTACACATTTATATGCTTTTCGTGCGTCCCGCGGATTACACGCATGAGAAAAAAAGAAAGCGAACGGAGGGTGTGAAACATAAACTTATTTTGAATACTACAGCATTATTAAAAAGGTTTTTTGAAAACCAGCTACGCACGCCTCTAGCCAGGGATTTGAGTCTTAAAATGACTTCTAACACACCTATGAACAATTCTTGTCCAGCGAATAAGGTCGAATATTCATTCAACGCCTTCTAATATATGCCATAAAAAGCTCCAGCTCTCGCCTAAAGTTCTAGAACTTTACATACCACTCAGCATCCTTGGATTATCTATGAATTCTATTGACAAAACAACGCCGAACTGAGCATTAAACAAATGAATAGAGTATTATAAATCCAAAGAAATACTCAGTTGCATATTTCAGAAACACAACATTATTTAACCTTGGTATAAGCAATTGTTAAAAGAATAGAAAATCAAAAAAAAATATATGAAAATAAAAATGAAAGAACCACAATCAAAAAAGTTTCAAAGTATAATAAAGTCACACTAGCTGAAAAAGGATGGAAAATCAAATGGATTTGAGATGAATACAAAAAGGAACGTTAGCTGAAGATAAATATTAACCCTTCGATGGACCCCGTTGACAGGTAGGCGGCGTCGTGCTGTCGCTTGCGCGGCAGTCGCAGGGAGACAAGCAACACCCGCGCGTGTGTGCATGCGTGCCAGGCTGTCTGCCTGCTTTCCCACGAGACGCGATGGCACAAGCACAATAGCTGAGTGAAAGCTGACGTCGCGTGGTTTCATACAGAACGTACTAAATGATCCTTGAAGGGTTAACAACCTCGTGTAAGGTGAGAAATTCTATAGAGAAATTATCGACAACCAATAACGTTGCCTTCATATTTGATTGCTGACAGCCTTGATATCATGTATCGTAGAAAAGATGGTAGTAGAATAGGGGCCCCTGCAGCGCAGTGATTAGCACGCGTCTTCGGAAAAGGTGAATTACGGATTCGAATCCCGCCTGACGTTCAAAGTTTCGCATAACACTCAGCATTTTTCAACTCAGCTCACACTGCGAAGATGCTGAGTGATATACAAGACTTTCTATCCCAGGCAGGAGTTGATCCCGCATTTCACCCTTTCCGGGAGGTGTTCTTCTTTCGCAGAAAGTGTGATAGCACAGCGGTGCGTCCGCTACTGCAGTGGTTAGCGCGCTCCTGTGGAGAAAGTGAGACGCGCGGGTTCAATCTCGCTCGTGTCCAGAAATTTGCATATAATCCAACACTACTGAATATACCCAGTGATATACAGAGATGTGCAAAACTTCTGCGTCAAGCGGAACTCGAACCCGCATCTCACTCTATCCATGAGCCGTGCTCCGACCTGTTGCATTACTGATGCCCGCTTTGCCATCACTCTTTCTACGTTACAACGCATCTATCTGCTAATAACCAACCGTGAACGGTTTGGTCCAGGTGTTCGACATCGACATTGAAACCAGAATCACGCTGACAGATACTGGATTTTGGAAAATCAACCACAATTCTTTTTATTTGACCGCTTTTAGCGGTTGCATGATTTTATAGATGTACCACTGATGGTTGCCAACAGACAGATGCGTCGTAGAATAGAAAGAGTAGCGGCAAAACGGGCCTCAGTAGTGCAAAGGATTAGAGCACGCGGTGCCGAATTGAGTGAGATGCGGGTTCGAGTCCCGGCTGGCGCAAAAGTTTTGCACATCACTCTAAATCACTGGGTATTTCTGTAACATTATACCACCGTTGAAAGCGATCAAGTAAAAAGAATCTACTATAGTCGTAAAACCACATTACTACTGAAAAGCTGGTAAACAAGTGATTCTGGCCGTTTGTAGACCACAGTATCGAAGCGATTCATACCTGCGGAAGGTTGTCAATCAACGAGTCGAGACGTGATTCACTATAAAGAAGCTCATTCAGTTGTTCCATCGATAATGTCCGAATGTTTGCCATCGCCGAATTCACGCAAACATCGACAAGTGAATCATAGGCGCTCTGGCTACTACTATACATCCTGCAAAGAGACATTTCTTAGTGCTTTTTTGCTATAGCAGTCATTTTTTCATTCCTTGGAAACAAGGCCTCTTTAGCTTCCTCCTCAGACTTTTAGTCATCATTCGATAGCTTAAATCTCGGCGATTCCAATACTGTACTCGCTTCTGGAAAAAGCTTTTTTTTAGCGCGCTAAAGCAACGAAAATAGAATCGAGTTCCACAAACACTGCGCATAATCGCGCGTATCTTCGTTATTGAGGGTTCTTTTCGGTTATAAGGAGACAAATGAAAAACCGATCTCATTCGCTGGAGAGAAACTTTTCATAGGAGTGTCGATAAGATCGAGAGATTACTATCAGTCCAAAGAAAAAGCTCTGTCCGCCGAGAAATATGCGCGTCTAAGGCTACTTCTATCTTGGATTTTAGAGCGTTATAGAAGGGTTTTTTGGAAAACCCGCGACGTGGGGCTGTAGTCCCAAATCTCAGCTTTCGAATGGTTACTAACACTCCTATGCAGAGTTCCTGTCCAGCGAATGAGGTCGATTTTTCATTTGTCGCTCTACAACCATAACCTTATTTATTTAGAACACTTCTCCGTTTCGCAGAGATTTACATGTTTTGCATAGCAGAATTGTAGAAGAAACCTTGTTCTATCGTTCTATGAGCTCAAATTTTTTTTTCATTGTACATTGTCGAATGAACCCGCTACTTGGTCTTAGCTCAGCAGTGCAAAGCGCTCCTTGGAAACCTTTTGAAAAACCAAACTTGGCTTCAGGACCCCTGAATTTATGCCACCAAACTACTGAAGGTCTGTTAACCCTTTTGGGACGGCAGTTAACACATCACAAAGGGAAATTAGCAAGTGGTGAGCGGTTTTCATTATTGAATTAGTCGCTTTGATTAAACTTCAGGTTTTTCGTCTTACTCTGACAATCCATGATTTTCTCTACGTAGTCATATGCTTTTCGTGCATAGGTAGCTTTTAAGACAAAAAAAACTGCAAGTGCGAAACGTAATTTTCCTTTCGCTCTTGTAGAGTTCTAAAAAAACCTTCTTGAGTACCAATTCTAACCATAGATTCTTCAAGATCTGGGCTATCGAATGACTACCAAACACCGGCGGAAAGTCATCCATAGACCCCGATCAAGCAAACAAAGTAAGCCGAGCGTGAAACATAATATTATTTTCGCTGCTACAACGCAATAAGTCTTTGAAGAATCAGACATATTGTTAAGATCCTTGATATTCACATTTCCGAATGGCTGTTGAAAATCGAAGGAAAAGGCTTTTTCCAGCGGAAGACGCCTCCAGAAGATCGTGTACCTTCTCAAAAAGATTAAAAGACGTTCAAAATTCTCGCCGCTTCCGTGCGTGCCGTTCGTCGTAAACGTTCTGGAGTACACTCCAAGTCATTCGCACGTCCTAGTCAAGCAAAATCTCAGCGTCAAGTGTGAAAAATAATTTTATTTCTGCTGCTACAGCGCACCAAAAAGGCTTCTTTGAAAACCAGCTATGGCATTAAAATCATCGAGATTTAGACTTTTAAATGATATCTAAACGTCTGCACAAAAAGCAAAAGAAGCCTTGTTTCAAAGGGCTCAAAAATGGAGCGTAATGATCGAATAATACCCATTTTATTCAGGTCAAAAGGCGATGAAAAGCTAGGCAAAACTTTAAGGGGAAATATCTGTAACGAAATTTAAAATAATAGGAGGCATACCAAGTGATGCAGAAAGATGTGCAAAACTTGTGCGTCAGGCGGGACTCGAACCCGCATCGCACTCTGTCCGGAAGGGCATGCTCAAACTCGTTGCACTAGTGACGCCCGTTTCGCCATCACTATTCCTATGCTACAACGCATATGCAAAAAAAAAAGGATAAAGGGTAAAGCTTTGGCGTTAATCAATCCCTAAGGAATGCGCCATGCATTCGTCTTCAATTTTTTCTTCGTCTGAGGCGACTGAATGCAAATGTGGCCTTTACAATGACTCGCGGTGGGCCTTCCGCTGTATCGAGTCGGTGCTGCTTATCCTCCTAGACAAGTCTGAGACCAGTCTGGCGCCAATTTACCGACCCAGGAGGGACGGATGAATGGCTTGGTGAGCCATGCGCGCGAGATCGAACCATCGACCTCGTGCGTGACGCAAGCGCCTCTAACCACTGCGCACATGCGCTCGTCTCTAGAAATATATTCCGTCTAAGATCGAGCAAACTCGACGTCCTCAATCCTTAAAGAATGATGAGAGAAAATTCAGCTTCTACAACATTAAAAACAAAAACACAACAGAATTATTTTTATTTGACCGCCACTTGCGATGCTATGATGTTACAGTGTACCCAATAATGCGGAGTGGTGTGCAAAAACGTTCGTCAGCCGGTATTCGAACCCAGATCTCACTCTTTCCGGGATCGTATGCTAACTGTTGCACCACCGACGCTCGGCTGACACAAACGATTTTGCATGGCACACAAAAATACAACATTTCAGAGTCTTTAGATGAAAAGCCAAAAAAATTTTTGAGGAGGAGAACAAAAGAAAGACGAGAAAATCCGCCATTAGTCAGGGAAATCCGAAAAATTTAAAAGACACAGCGCGCAAAAATCCCCTAATCTACAGTAATAAAAACTAGCCGTAAACAAAAACGTATTGCGGACTTGTCATCAATTCGACGAAGATCTCATCGCCAAGGGGCTATGTCGCGTTGATTGGAGTCGATCAAATCGATTAAGATCAAATTGGTGGGGCGAAGAGTAGGCCTCTCGGCGTTGATCAACCCCCTGAAGGATAGCGCCATGCATTCGTCCTCACTAGGCATAATTTGAAGTGAATTCAATGCATGTCTGAACCATGCAATGACTCCCGATGGTCTAGCGACGGATCAAGCCAGTGCTGCTATCCGCACAGGTGTCGGGTACGAATGCACCGACCTCCTAGGAATGGAAAACTTGGTGACTCTTGAGGGTGTGGTCGAACCATTGATCAGCTGTGTGTGGGAGCGCATATCTAACCACTGCGCCATATGCGCCGCTGAGATGTAGCGTATAAAGGAGAGGAGTTATTCTAAACACGGTCAAATGCGGATATGTGACAAGTGAGTAGTACTACTATACTACTATTATCATTAATTATTTAACCTCTGAGCGCATGTGACGCAGTGGTCAGAGGTGTTTTGCGTCGCACACAGTGTCGATGGTTCGATCTCGCGCTCATGGCTCACCATGCCATCCATCCCTCCGGGGTCGGTGACCAGCAACCACACTGATCGCAGACTTGTCTGGGAGGATAAGCGGCACTGACCCGATACAGCGGAAGACCACCGCGAGTCATTGTAAAGGCCAGAGAAGGCGAATGGCATGGTACATCTCTCAGGTATAGATCAACCCCGAGAGCTTTAGCCTTATTCTTTTAACCCCTAAGGGACGACGTGTACCAGATGAGGTACACGATTGTTTCAATGTCCTCCTCGCTTATCGAAACTTTTTTCTCTTAAACAAATGGTAATCATTTGAAAGCTTAAATCTCTGCGATTTCAGCAATATGCTTGATTTCTCAAAAAGCCTTTTTATCACGTCGAGGCAGCGGAAATAAAATTATGTTTCACTCTCAGTTTGTTTTATTTGCTCAGCTGAGGCTTCTACATGTCTCTTCGCCAAGTTCTTACTAGTCATTCGATAGCCCAAATCTCGAGGATTTTATGTTATAATTGGTTTTTTGAAAGGTTACCAGAGAGAGCTGTAAGAGCGAGAAAAAGATTACGTTTCGCACTCGAAGTTTCTATGGCATAGAAAACTTATATGTGCACAAAATACATATGAGTGCGTAAAGAAAGTCATATATTACTCAAACACAAAAATCCTAAGGTTTCACTTTCTAAATGGAGGAAAAAACTTTGATTGAATGACAAAAATCGCGCTCCTCTTGCAAGCTTTGTTGTGCCATCGATCAACTACCATTTCTGAATGGTTATTGTGATAGATTATTTCAAGTTTTGAGAGGCCTGATACTGCACTTCTAGTGCTAGACGTACATCTCGGCTTTCTAACAAGTCTCATCAGTAGCACAGTGCCTTTCGGCTCAGTCGAGTTTCTACAACTAAGGGTATCGATGCCACACATGTTACACTGCACGTAAAGCGTAAGAATCACTTGATATTGCAGTGATTTACAGTCGACTGCTCGATTTCTAGTGAAACGCGTGCAGCAATAACTCTTCATTCTATTGGCGAGCGCCGTGGCCGAGTGGCTGACACTCTCCCGCATTCAACAGCATGTCCTATAGAACGTCACAGCCACGCTATCCTCGAGATTGCTAGACGAAATGTATGAGTATGATGCTCTATGATTCTCTCCACATGTTCATATGCTCTTCGTGCATAGGCTCAGGCTGCTTCGGCTTGGCTTAGGCTAGGCCTAATAGCGCGTTTATTTGGCAGTAAGAAACGAAAATGAAACGCCTAAGTCCTAGAACAATAGAACAAAATTTCTCTTACATTTCCAATGCAAACAACGTACAACTCTCTACGAAGCAGGGAGACACATTTTTAATTTGAACAAAAATCCGCATGATAGCGCACGACGCTTGTAAAACACAGCGTCATTTCTCTGCTACAACGCTGTAAAGATGCCTTTCCAGGGAGCAAATATTTTTCTGACCTTATAAGACTTACGCTATTCATTGACTGATGGTAGGATAGGGAAAAAATTTTTAACAACGAAATGTAAATGCGATGACAATAAAAGCGTGCGGTATGTGAAAAACATAATTTTATTATTTTTTGACCTGCAGAGTTGTAAGAAGGCTTATCCTAAAAACAAGTGCATCTCTGAACTCATTGTATCTACGTCATTTGTTGATTCCTAATAGGATAAAGGAAAAGGTCTCCTAGCAAATTATAAGCGTGATAATGCTAGAAGCAGGCGACGCGTGTGAGACATAACCTTCTTTTGATTTCTTCGCTGTGGGAAGGCCTTCTAGGAAACGAACACTTGCAGCAGCTTTCGAAGATTTAAGCTTTCGAATGATTTCTAACAATTCTTCAAAAAGTTTTTCTACAGAGAAAAATATCTCATCACAAGTCCTCGCCGGATAACAAAAACAGCCCATTTGATAAATCAGTTGAGTTTTCAACCCCTTAAATTCTATCATGATTGCGAAATCTACCTTCATTGTCGGAAACTCTACATACACTTTTATTTTCTGGCAAAAAGAACGAATGATAATAGCTGTCATTTTCCTGAGTAAGGTCCTGCTTTATCTTAGTTTTAACGATTCGCAAATTTTGCACCTCGTTGAAAAATACGACCCATCACTGGCTAATTCAGTTTTCAATGGTTTCTGATTGTGATATATGATTACATATGATACAACGGTTATCACAGCCATATCCACCGATGACCACAAGGTGAGGTTGTTTTTGATATTCTACTCAACGGAAGTAACTTCATTGCGTTTCTCAATTCGAATTACTTCACACATTATCTCAGCATCTTAGGTAGGCGTAAGCTGTTCTGCGAAGGTCTTCTAGAAGAGGATGTTTAATTTAGATTTAATGACTCCTGTATGGATTTATCTTCTTCTGCAATGGGCAACATGTGTACTGTTCTTGCTTACGACATGTGGAAAAAGCGGAGGTGATGACGAAGAAGGAGGAGAAGGCGAAGTACGAATTGTACTATTCCGACTACCACATTGAAGTGCTTGTTTGTTAACTGTCAAGCTTGTAATTTTTATTAATCACCACTTCCTGGAAGTTTCAGTATCTCAACGAAACAATACTGACAGGGCATCGCTAAGACGAAAGGAGAACGCAGTAATGATTTCGATGACAGATTTTCGCATTACTACTTTTATCCAGATAAAACACACCCAAAGATATTTTTCAGCTATATTTCCGGAAGAATTCAAAGTTCACGGAGCCATATAAGTTTCTTCTTTTCAGAAAGTTCAGGAATATCGCCTGCATCATCGGACACGCCACCAGGTGCTCCACCTGCAGGAGATGCACCGCCTTCAGCAGGTGCACCACCTCCAGGTGCACTACCTCCAGAAGGTACTCCAGGCATATCCGGAACGTCATCTTCTACCGATGCCAAGGTTAGTTAGCAGAAGAAACCATACATGATTATGGTAGTAGTCTGAGAGCTTGATATTTTGCTCATGTGGATCATCAATCGGATGAGTTGTTTTTCTAAGCGGAAAACACAGTGAGATTTACGGTATCAACCAACCACATTACAACCAGCCTTTTTCTCATTTTACTATTTGGCTAAAAACGTCAGAGTCTATGAAAAGCTTGACTATCAATCATTTTTTGGACCGCTCAATATGCTTTACTTTATTCACTAATCCACTCGTTCAACATTTCAAAGTGTGTTAAGCAGATCCATGGAAAGCACTGAGCTGAGCAAAGTTTCTTGATATTCGTTGAGAATTCAAAGTTTATATATGAATTCAACTAAAAGCAACAATTATTTTTCTTCAAAATGAAGGCCGTCAATGTCCACGATCTTCTGCCAACGATTTGCAAGTTTCCGGATCTTCAAATACCGATCCTTGGGCTTTGATTTAAAGACTCCTGACATGCCTTTTCAATTTGATAAAATGTGTCGAGTCAGTGTCCACACATGAAATATTCCATTCAGCAGAAAAGACCGTAATCGGGCGGCGCAGCATCTGGACTGTAGGCTGGGTGCGGCAAGACCTAGACTCACTCCAGGTCATCAAACTTTTCCGTAGTCTTCTTTGCGGTCTAAGGTTTAGCACTGTCTTGCTTGAAACTGCTCGCGCTTTCGACAAATTAATGTCAGGTACTTTTCTTTCAACGC